GGATTATTTCTGTGACGTGATGAAATAAGCTTTTCTACGGCTTATTGGCATGGTATCGGAGCAGTAACAAACTAAACGATTTAAAGAACGATTGACCATCAGATGCTATTCTATTCAAGCTACACATAAATCATAGCAAGTTCAAAAGCGTTTCACCGAGGCATTGGACATACTTCAATCCAGTAGTAACATTCCGTATAGTCGCCACCGCCTTGGAAATCTAGCATATCCGAGAGGGTCGTCCAGTTCGAGGAAGCTTGAAGGGTTTCGCCGCATCCTGATGGCTAAAACGACACTTCCTTCGAAAGAATGATCACCACTCAATCACGGACAATGATCGCTTCCTCCCTCACACGAATTCAATTAATTAATGCTGCCCCACCCCTCTGCACATAAGGTAGGATGACGTTGAGTTTAACCATCCAACCACGGGAAGTACTGGCAAAAAGCGACAGATGCAGTGGACAAGTGAGGTGTTGTACCTACAGATGATAAGACCAGAAGATTTTTTCGGCCGCATTCTGAGAAACCAACCCTCATGACAGTCCTGCGGTAGGAGTTCTAAGCAACGATATGATTTTCTTCAATTATATGAACTTCTCGCAATCCTACTATGTATAATTCGCTAAGTATGTCTGTGTGTATGTGTGTGTACGTCTGTTTGTCACGAAATTCATAGCTCAAGTCACAGTAACGATAGCGCAGTGGCTCTTACATATGTTATAGGGAATTGGATGGGGACACAAGTGATATGTTATAGGAACCGATAACGACTGACAATAACTGATAAGAGGGGCTAGAAAGCGAGCTTCGACAATTTCGCTTTGTCATTCATATTGGAACTAGAGCGTTTATACTTACAAATGATGTGAGGTGGTCCCGAGACATAGGTGGTACATGATTGAAAGCAATAGCAAGTGATAAGGGCTGATAAGATCCGTTAGAACGCGAAAGTCGTCGACTCCGTTACCTGGCTCGCGTTGACACCAGAGCAGCCATACTTACAAGTGTTATGGGGGATGGGACGGGGACATTGCTGGTTGGTGATAAAAAGTGGTTGCAACTGATAAAGGCTGACAAGGCGCGTTAGAACGAAAAGTCGTCGATTCCCATACCCAGCTCGCGTTGACACCAGTGCGTCCCTACGTACGAATTCTATTTGTAGCGGAACGTGCACATTGTATCAATATAACCGGCTTACTTAATAGAAGTCAATTGCATAAACTCAATCACGTCTTCATCAAATGTTAAATTTCACTTCTAATGCAATAACAAGGAAGCCCTAACTCCGCTAATCCTTTCGGGGTTTGAAATAATGGTGAATGTAAATAAATGATAAGCCCTAGCTCCTCACTTATGTAAATAGGCATGCTGATATTCCATGGGTCCTCCAGTTTTGCTAAAGCCCGCCGTGTTAGCTATAGATGGGCGGAGCACAACTGGTTCAAAATGAAAGCCTTTTGTTCTCTAGGTCTTTACCGTAGAAGATAGATCTTGAGTCATCGACTCATGGGGGAGAGTCAAGCGGTTTTCGAATACGATTCCTTTGAACTCAATTAACTGCTCACTCTTTCGTTGCATAAATCTCCTCCGTAACCACTGGGACATACGCATTTCGAGCAGTTTCGTGGATGAGGAAATCCGCCATTATCGCACCTGGCCGATGTTTGTGAATTGCACCGTTCTGCAATATACAGTTAGAAGTCGGTTTGGAAGTGTGTGGTGCGAAATATATCGTAGGCTTTTATAAATCATCGTGGGATAAAAACGACTCGTGCTCGCACTGTCAAAGTACATCCGCAATGTACGAACTAGCACAGAAAGCGTCCCAAATTACATGCGAACGAGTGAGTGTATGTGATCGCAATGTGCAGGTTTCTGATTGGCAAAGGAAAAGTACGACAACAGAATCTAAATGATTGTGAGAAAAGGAAAACGAGCGGAATCATCTGACTGTAGGTTGGCAGTTTTTGGAAGGCTTCTCACTAGAGTTGTACGACAAACCATTGCAACCGTAGAGAATGTTCATCTGGTAGTAGTCGTTGAACGAAATGAACGGAGATCCCAAAGTCATTATATAATAATAGTCATGCGGCACCAGTACCGGCGATCCATCGGTCGAATAACTATAAGATGTAAGATATAATTAAAAGCTCCTTTGTTGTCATTCCTATTGCTAAAAGATAATACTCATCCGACACCATATTTCGGCGGTAACCTTTTCCTGTTGGATCAGATAAGTTCAGATATTAATATGTTCTGAAGGCAGACCTAGTTCACTAAGCCAGCCCATTTGCGTTTGATGGGAAGTTCAAGGAATTAAAGTAATTTCGCTGTAAATATTCCGCAGTTCATCACATTTCAGTTAACGTAAATTCTGAAGTTCCTTAGCTGGAATGATTTATTTCTTCTTCGTGTCCTGAGTTGCCTCACAATTTCTCAATACGGATACTAAGGATGCTTGACATTTGTCAGGCCTTTCTTTCTGCTACTCGCTTTTCGCTATTCGTTACTTAGTTTAGTTGTACATAGTGACTGCTACGAACCCTACGCTCTAGCTAATTGATAGAGTAATCAGTTGTAGAGCATTGGATTATATCAGATCTCCTTCGCAGTTTTTTTTCTCTCCTCACGCTACATTTTTCAGTGTCTCACACTTCATGCTCACTGTTGCCTGGGTTTCCATGTATCATACTGATTTGGCGCACCCAGACTACTACTCTGAGGATAAGTACGAATGAACAAAACCAACTAAAACCTTCACACAGTGTGACCAGGAAAGATCAATTGGTTGATCAGCTCATCGCAATAGAGTATATGTTGTTGCACTCGCAGGGAACAACGCTTGCCGTTTCCTAAAAATGAGTGAAGTGATAGTTATACAGGTCGAGGTTACGCATTCACTCGTCTTTAGGAAACTACCACGAAAATTTCGTTGGCGAAATGTCGTCGAAACCTAGCCTATATTTCTCTACTATACCAATGAAAAGCGGTCTGAATGGAACAAAACACTCACAATCTTGAATAAAAATTTGCTCAACAAAGCCAAGCCTTGGCTCAGTCTTTAGTTGGACTTCTCTTCACTGGTCTCAGTCAGAAAGCCTAACGGGTATGGCAGCACCCTTCGCAGCACCCTAGGCTAGTTGTCCATATCAATGATTTTACGAGGTGGTTTCGGTTTTATCCGCCTTCTGTCCTAGAGCTGACACCGACTGAGCGTGCATGATGATTTCGTTTGTTGTTGTCTTCGAGGTTATGCGCCAATCCCCTTGGAAAGCTCCGTTGTTTGCCCTGGTGCGCTTTGATTTCTATTTATAGTAAGAGTTTGGGATACCAAGCTACTGTTCTCCTTGGATTTCCCAAAATGGTTTCGATGGTCGTGGTATGTCATCAGGCGCGTGTAAAAGCAACGTCTGTCTTTCAGTCCCGGAGGAGAGGAGAGTAACTCAAACCGTAACTCTAGTAGAGTTGCAGTACACCAGATAAGTGCTGCTATCATTGCTTGTTGAATTGAAAAATCCAACAGTAAGGTAAAGTCTGAGGAGTGTCCTATGATTCTTCACCGGCCCCAAAATCAAAAAAATTGTTTAAAAATATCGAAAACTAATTAGATGACTCATAACTTGTGGGTATAGGTTCTCCATATGGGCGGTTCTGATTTTATAGGTTGCTATGAATGGCGATTTCAGTAAGCCAAGATATTCATATTTTTTGAGGGGGAGGGTGTATCCTACGATTTTGCATCGCAATGTACAACGAACTGCGAGCAGTTTTCAAATTTCGGGAACTATGTGTCTATAACTGCCTGCGGTGTGTGCAGTGTAACAAGGCGTAGGTGAGTTGCCTTTCATTAGACATCGAATAATCAACCCATCTTCAAACTCCCGAGGTGTAACGAACAGATTAGCCATTATTCTATTACCAGATTGGCCCCCCGTCAACCTTCGGGACCTTCCTTCCCTGCGCAAGCTCTATATCTTCCGCTGTGGTCCCTTCCATTTGTGACACCAACACCTCCTGGAGGTGACGCGTATGCATCACAAAGGAGTTTCATATAGTAGAAAGCATCGCCATAATCATGACACTGCCCTCCAGCTGCCACTTCAGCACCATGTGGAATGACCGGAAGTGTACTAAGCAGATGTTTATATAGCCTTAGGATAGGAGTGACTGCAATTATTCTGCTACAAAACATTGATATCTCAGGTTCTGTGAGCTACCTGTTTTGTTAGCGGTGTTTACTCCATGAGCTTCCTCATCACTCGCTTAATTTTGCGAACGGACAGACATACATGCATACATACATACACACGCATACAGACAGACACGCTACATACAACAGACACACCAAGTTCGCGGTTCATATAATAGAAGGATGTCTCTTATTTGGTTCGGTTATTTTTGGCACTGAAATTCAAATGCACGTACTGTACTACGTAAATGTACGTGGCTCATGCTCAATATTTTAAATTGGAATAAAATTATGGGTCTACTCATCTCTCACGATAAAAATTGTTTTTTTGTGTTTTTCTAAGTGATGAAGTTCTGAATGTGATGATTTGAACGAAGTTCTTCAGCTTCACCATAGTTTTTAAAGTATAATATTTTTCTTTACGCGAACTATCCTGATGTTCGAAAAAGTGGTAGCCAATAGCTAAAATGTCTATCAAATGAGGTGGCATTCCGAGATCTGCCACTGTCTCCAAAAACTTCCATCAGTGCAGTTCCAGCATTGCGAACTTTGAAAGGCTCGATCTTGGTGGGCAAATTTAGAGCAAAGCTCCGAAAGCTGTAGCGAAGAATCCGCTCCACATCCCATCTATCACAGCTCATTGAAGGAATGAGTCTTTTTCGCTGCACAAAATAAGCCATAAAACAGGTAACGATGAAGAAATTGGAAATGGCAGAAAAGTTACGGCCAAAAAGGCATTTGGTCGAATACTTTTAGCGCTTTTGCCAAAGCTCTAAACTCGATTCGTACGAATATTATACAAGAAAGCTTACTCCGCTGCGGCGTAGTGCATGATGGATCCGTAGTCGTACGCCAGTCCAAAGTTATCGTTCTGCTCCTGTGTATATTTCATGAAATCTCCGCTCTGACCTGCCTGAAAATCCCTTTTGGAAGCATTGTCATCTTCATATTTTTTTATTAGATAGTTGGTCACTATTTCATAGTGTAATGCCTGTGTTTCTTTTCATAATGATGAGCAGTGCTACCTACACGTAGTGTCACTCCCAGACCACATTTCTTCAATACGACTCCCACGATCCTGTAAACACAAGTGCCTCTTTGCGATCGGAAAACATGTAAGTTTTTGCTTAGAAACCCTAGCGACTATTGCCTTACTGAGATTACACCCTAACCACAAATGGTCTCTGACCAATTATTTGAAGACGAGAACGTAATCTCACCTCTTTCTGCTTTATATAAGGTCAGTCAAATCATAACTGGGAATACCTGAAAATGGATCCATGTTTGGGGAGGGAATAGGGGAGAGGTTGGGGGAGGTATTCTTCAATAACTTTCTAGTATTAGCAAATTAGCATTCCTTTGGGCCTTATAAAACTAAGGAACGACACGACACTACGACAATACGTGAACGACAGTTTGAGGTGTATTTTTTATATGGACTGCTGTGGTCCTCATACCAAATATACTGCCCGCCTTCTATCTAATTTATTGCTCCTGCTCAATACAAGAGCTGCTCCCGACTTTAATAAAGATGTTCAAATCTCTAGTTCGTCACCTCTGCCTTGGACCAATGTGAAAGACCGGGCGCGAATGTGAAAGAATCTCAGAAGTGCTTAGAGATTGAATAAGCGCTTATCAGCAGTATTTCTCCGATGAATATGAAAGCAGACCGGGAAAGGTTCTTTCGCATGCCAATTCTGAAGCCAGCATGCATTTTCGATATAAAATTTTTAAAAAGTTCGACTACAGCAATTTCGTGGATGCACCCCTAGTCATGATAAGTACTGTAGAGGTAATCTTGCGAACAGTAGCATTAGTCTGCTCCGACGATCACGACTTTCCTTGAGTCTTCGACTTACAGAACTCTACAAGGCTCAAGCGATGAAAGCCAATAATTTAACTACCGAGACGATGAAAGAGAATCATGTTTGTAAACTTTCGTAGTGAATCTCTTTTGACTAAGCTGTGAACTATGACCAGAATGCAGTCTCGAACGCATGAGGATAATTATGACGGATACTGCCAATGTCATCGACATGGCGTAAGGCTCTAGTGGACTTACTGGCAGATGCCGTACGACACAAGAGCTTCCAGTTTTATACCGCGGTAACGGTCTGATGACCTATCTAGAGCGCAGAGGGGATTTCTTTCATGCGTTCTACAACTAGCGAGCAAAGGGCCAATTCTAATATAGCACTTTGCAAATTTCAGTCTGAAAGCGGAAATAATCATGAGTACCTTCTTCAAATGTAAGCAGACTTAATAAAGGTTTTAATTTTTACCTGCATATTGTCATAGTTAACTTTGACAAAGTTGTCACGATCGACGCGCGAGTGGGTGTGTATAAATCCAAGACTATGACCAATTTCGTGCGCAGCAATGAATCCCAGAGGACATCCGTCTCCAACGATAACTCCTGTTCGCCGCCTTGTTTGCCCACAGCCGACCAACATCCTGATGACTCAATGACTTTCACTCGGTGTTTAGCTGAAATAAGGCTTTTGTTAACGACTCCAAATGCTAAGTACTGCTAAATTACGGCAACTAGTGACATTTTCCATATCTATTCAAGATTTGACATTTCTATGTCTACGATGTCACATTGGTTATGAATAAATGTGTTTATATCTTTCACGCATTCTGCTCCATTCTCCATTGCTAAGCAGCGTTCAATCGATTATATTGATCATTTTTTTCAACGCCGGATATGGAAATCCTGTTAGGTAAACATTCATGTAAATCTTACCCGAAGGATTTTCTGTGAAGTTGATACAGGTGTAACTTTCCCATTGATTCGCCGCGTCTTTGAACGCATTTTTAGTTTGATCAGCTGAAATGTATTATCTGCAATATCTGTACTTCTACTGGAGTTCTGGGTAATCACGACAGTAACAATGCTTACAGATGGAATCGTCAAAGACGTAGTTTAGCCCCTCTATCCAGAGCATTTGTGGCCAAGCCTTCCAATTCATGGCCTGACGTTTCAGGCGGTGTTCGTTTTTGCCCCCTGCATCTTTTGTGGCGCTGGCCACCTGTTCTGCATGCTCACTTAAATTATGGGATTAGGGAAAACAACAACTTGGATTCTGAATTTCTCACGTACCGGGATAACACAATGTCGCCTTGGTGTAGTAGATGATGGACATTATTTTTTTCATTGACCTCAATAACGGAAAGCCCGGAAGAAGTCACACCATTGACGAGAGCGGGCAACAGTATGGCGAGTAAGAGAAGCCCCATGCTGTAACATTTTTGATGGAATGCAGCTGGAAGCTGAGGCAGTAAGCGTGAATGACGTGATTTTATTTTTGAAAAATTATTTGAGCAGCAGCTGTTACTAGGGCAAACTTTACAGTTTGTGGGAACTTATGAAAGGCATACATTATATTCGAGGAATGGTTCGCGATTGGCGAGCGGGGTGCGTAAGAATGGAGTAGCGGTCATCAGCTCTTGTTGAAACACAGACTGCATCATAGATATGTTTAGCAAGCAATAGCATATTGATAATGGGTAATATTGTTGTACAGAGATCGCTACTAAATCTTAAAGGAAGCGATTACGATAGATCTTAAAGGGGTTTAGAGGGGACGTGGGTGTCTCAGTACGACAATGGCGAAAGAAGCAAAGGAATCCGTTAAAAATAAGCAAAGTAGTACCCCTTCAACTGCCCGTTCATTTTCGACCGTGAATGAGCGGCCACAAAGAAAGGAGTTGTTTGGACGTGTTAACCCCGATAGCCGCCATCATGCCAACAAGCGTAGTGTTTGAGGCATAAGGCAATACGTGGGAAAGTTGGAAGATACAGCAGCTAGAAGGGAAGTGATCATCCAAAATGAAAGGCCAACAGGAAACAGTCCATCTAGATCATCAACAAAATTAGTGGGCGTTACGTCACTGGGGGCGGAGCGTCACACGGGTCTTGCTTAGCGACCACAGCACTTTTCGCAGTGGGAGGACCACACATCGGTTCCTTGGCAGCCAAGTAATTGCTTCGTGTGGCGCAGGTTTTGCCCCGATGCAAAAATTCCTTATCGTAATCGCTTCCTTTAAGATAATGTCTACTTTGCATCGCATCTACAGACTCATTAGATACTGTTATTGCCCTTGAGATGAGTAGGAGCCCAAGGAAACTACGACCACGCTTCGTCGGTGGCACTGACAATGGCTAATTTTTCACACACGAAATCTAGATGCGGGATACACATGCACTTCTTAAGGCATCGCACGAGTCAGCAAGATGTAGGCTGAAATCCGGGCGTAGAGGCTAATTTTCTCTCGAGCGCCACTTCACGATTAGTTTTCATCTGAAGGCATAAAAACGGAGAAAGCCGTTGATAGTTTGTTTTCGCACTTCTTTGATTGTGATACTTGAGAAGATATAACGTAGCCGAGCGCGTGGGCTGAAATTTTTGCAGTGATACTACTATACGATGCACCGGCAGTTCAATAATATGGAAACACTCGGATTCAAGCACCTATAGAAGAAACGCTTTGTACAATGAAAAGTGAGCGTGGTAGCCCGCAAGGAAGAACACATTCTGGCAACACTAGTCGTCATGCCATGAGCACTGGAGGCGAGAGGTCGTCGTGCCATCACATGAAATGATAGCGCTTTTATGCAGTGAAATTGTTTGACTCTGTTTTGCCATTTTCACTTGCTTGAATAAATATAACCACACAGTATCGGCGAAAATTGCAGTACATAGAAAAAGTTCTTTACACAGGTTGGGCGAAGGTTACGGTGGCAGGCCGCTGTCTCATTTGATTTCCGAACTGTAGGAATTTTAGGTGAATTCTATAAATCTATACTAATCAGATTCAATCTAGTTCTTCCATATAAAAAATAACAAATCTAGACACGTGGACATTCACCTCTTCCTGGGCGAATCCTATGTTTGATAAACCCAGAAGTATGTTTGTGCAACATTGCGAGACAACTTGACTTCGCCACTTGTGTTGACCACTATAACCACTGCATTAGGTACCGGTAGTAATGTTTTTGTCCTGATTGATAAATTATCTTGTCTTGTCCAGCATGAAGATGACCCCGCTTTCGCGCATGCTTAGCTTTCAACTATAGGAATGCCCAATCCTTGACAAATGTGAGCAATTAAAAAAATCGTGTTGCAGGAAGAAGTTGCCTAGACTCAAATAGTGTGTGATTTGTCACTACTGTTTGCAGACGCGACGATGCTTGCTGTAGATTTTGTAGTGCGTGGAAAAGGAATACAGACCCATTCTAGTGACACTCATCTCATATAGTGTTATTACAAGGAATCACAAGATCTGGGATCATGTTCAGCCCAAAACTCTTCCTACCAATAATTTTCAGGACATTAAACGGTTGAGAGGAAGTACGAATTCCATCAGACCTTACTCATACTGATGCCTTAATGAAAAAACACACTTCAATGGAGACATTTTTCAGCATGCCATAAGAGCTGGTCCCGATTGGAGAGATAATGGAAATCAGGAGAGGCGAGGCTGTGAAACTATGGGGCGACAATAGTTTTCGTTGAAAACTTATTACAACCCCAACCAAATCAGTAGTTTGTACATGGTTAGACTCGCTACAGAGAGGATTTCGAAGCTTCCAAGCCACTTTCATCTTACCCGCTTGCGAGAGAGCTATGATGCGAAAGTTTGTGACGCCACAAAACCGTCGCAACGCAACGTAGATGTTCCAAATGTTAGGAGCAGTATTGTATATGTGTGGAATACGGACAGGACTCTCGAGTTGTTGGGACAGATCTGATAAAAAAAATAATCAAGCAGATGTAAAATATCTTCATAGGGTGCTCTACATGATCAGAAGTACTAAAGGGATTCTGCAACTTGCCAAGAGTTGTGATCTTGGTTGGCACCCTTTGGGTTTTTGGCACAGAGACGCAAGTTCCGCTGCGAACGGTAGATCAGGTTGCATGTTGTGCGCGTGCTTTTTGCGGCTCTCCTTACTTTTTTGAATGTTAATATTTTAAGAGGAAAGCGTTTCAGATCTGTGTGCTAGAAAGGCTAATAAATGAGTGTCCGTCCTAATCTGTTTCTACATTGACTGAGATTTGAGCTCCTATGTCACCTATTTTCCTCAGGTCCGTTTCAAATATTAGAATTGCCATCAGCAGAGCTAGATCAACAGCTGTGCAAACTACGAAGGCAGAGTGCATCACACTCTGAAGTGTGTCGTTTGGGTGTGCGTTCATATACTAAACATAGTTTAAGCAGGTGTGGGATATTCAAAAGCAAATGTGCTATTGTTTACTCACACGGAGCCACCCGAGCAGAATTATCATATAACAGCACATGTAAGCCGCAAAATATTACACGGGTTCGTGCTTGTGTACCTCTGTTTATAAAAGGTTTTCATATGCGCTGCAGCAGCGGCGGGCAGAGTGAATATTGCCTGAGTATTCCTCAACGGCACGTCGAGAATACTCTGCCCGGTCAGACACGATTCTCGCGCGGACAACCACACGCGCCATTTCTGTGCTCTCCGCACGGATGTTCACTCTCGACACTACTCTCCTATGGTAGAGAGCTATATTCGAGGAAATCCTCTACCGTAGTCAACCGTGGCGGCGGGTCCTTGCCTCTCAAATGGGGGTGAAAGACCAGAAGGGGCTAATTGAAAGCTACAATAGTGACAAAAGCCGACAATAGGCCACAGTCAAGCAGAGAAGGTTCACCGCTGGAAGTATTACTCAAACTGCTTGGATGTTTTGCCTTCATTTTGAAAATAGTGATATCGGAACCATGAGAATACTGACGGTGAATGATAAATAATTTGTGAACAGTTTAGTCTTTGAATTTAACAACCACACTGTTACTCTCGGCTAATTTTTCAAAATTAGGTTTTCTAAGGAACAGTTCCGTTGTTCCCTTATTCAAGGGCTTGTGGACCAATTTTGAGAACGCGCGACTTTTCGTCATTCGAACGTACACAAGTTCCTTCATTATCAACTTTTTGCAGATCTCTGGGGCTTTGCAAACTAGAAGACTAACGATTCAAAGAAATTACTGGAGTTCGTCTGAAATTTGCCCTGTCGTTCCATTTTCTCACTCCATAGCTATTCTAAGTCATTCTGCTGAAACGCGAGTTTCCAACCTTCAATCTGGCTATAAGTTTCTCATAATCGATTATTTGATAAGCAGTAGCAACCATTGGAATCAATACAACCTGTACTTCGTAGCATATGCTAGTTTATCTAAAAATGAAAACCTTTCTTCTGCCAGGAGTTCTTTATTATTACTCTGAAGATCAACCTGCCGCACTCGCTGCACTTTCCTTCTTTTGGTTTGGTCTGAAAGCAGAGGATTTTCTTTGAGAGAATTTTCCTCTTGTGCTCACTGGAACATGACGTGTTAAGTCGGAAATCCAGCTCTGGGTTGAGCCATTCATTCTTTCGCGGTGCGTAGTCGCAGTGGTATAATAGTTGGAAGCCTGCCCTCGTTCGCCACTTAGCAATGCCTTGTACCAGGGTGAAAATCGTGTCGAAAAAATGGCTCCTCATTACTACCACCCCTCCCTTCACCAGAGACTTCGATACGACTCCTTTTTGTGCTCTGCACATCTGCTTTTACGAAAACATTTTTATTTTTAGACGCACAGAGGGAGGCAGCACCGCTGCCATGCGAGTGCTCCGCGATTCAAACATTGAACCTAACCACTGGTTAGATTTTTTCGAAGAACAGAACCTGAAACCTGTGATAGACGTGGAACGAGAAAAGAAAAGTAAGATAGACTTCTACTAGAGAAGAACGGAGAGTAGAAATGGGAAGAAGATGGCGCCTAAAGACTGTTTGAAGGACTATAACTTTATTCATCGACAACCATTCAAGAAATGGAAGATAGTTTCCGAATGCACAAGAGCTCTAATTTATAAATCACTCTGAGAATTTTTTCAAGCACGTGTTTACTCAACAGTCAGAGACATCGAAGGATTGAAATCTACATGCGAGTTTTCAATCTCTGGAAGGCTGTAACTTTGTTCATTGACAATCATTTGAAAGTTTCCTGCATGATGGGCAGTTGACCCTGCTTAGATGGTGTTGTTTAGTTGGAGGAGACTTTTGACGCATATCTTTTTTTATCTTTTTCTTAGTTCTGCGTTGATTATTTTTCTAATTGTAGGAGAAGGCCATGCTGCCTCTTTCAGCTTCAGAAAATCTGAACCGCTCCACCATTTTGTCATTGCTTGTAATTCTGTGAATGTGGCTGTGCCAATGTTTGCTGGATTGTCTTC